CCTCCCTCTTCTGTTTCTCTCTCTCTCCCCCTCTCCCTCTCTTCCTTCTTTTCTTTCCCACATCCTACCTATCTACTTTCATGACTTGAAACTCCGTCTATTTGCTGATGACTCTGACATTTATAGCTTTGATCTAGATTTCTAGGCTGTGTACTTATGCTTCTGTCAACCTGTTTACTTAAGATCTCCGGTCTCTGTCAGCATCTCAAATTTAGCTTGAGCCCATATAGTGCACAATGCTAGCTGCTTTTCCATCACTCTTTCTTCTTTCAACAAATAGTATTCTTATCTACTCAGTTGTTCATGCCAGAAATCTGAGAGTAATCCTGCAAATACCTAACTTTTTTATGTTCAGCCAGTCACCCATGGTTTTGATTCTATCTGCCACCGTCTCTGAAATCTGTCTATTTCTCTGTTTGTGTTGTCACTGCCTTCGTCTGAAACATTGTCATCTCTTCATGTACCAGTCTAGAGGCTTCCGAATATGACTTTCTTATTCTGGTTTTCTTTACCTCTAATCTTTTTCTCAGAGCAGCAAGAGTAATCTTTTAAAAAGATCTAATTATCATTGTGTCAGTTCCCTGCTTAGTGAATGAGTGGCTTTCCTTGTGTCCCAGATAACGTGGTGACCTTTTCCTAGGGCGCTGGGCCTCTGCCGTCTCTCACCTCTTCTTGTTTACTTCATTGTTCCTCTTGCTGCAGCCATCCTGGCCTCTTGATATTGCCGAGGTAGGTCGATATCAAAGTTTTGAGCCAGTCTGTGTTATGATCCGTTATTTCACTTCCCAGAAACACAGGTGACAGCGTCCCTTTGGATTCACCCATGCTCAGCTTATCGATGTTCCTGGGAGGACTTCATCTGTTTCCGTCCATGTAGATTTTTGGTTTCTTGATTTTTGTGTATCTCAAAACTTTTGTAATGACCCACATGTAACGCTAAAACGTCTCACCTTCATCCTTTCCTCTGATGGCTTCAGGCTGGAAACAGTTTCTCTTGTTCTTTGCACCGTGGTTTCCTTCTCATCTTTCAAGTCTTGGCTTGAGTGTCCTCACTTCAGGGAAGCTCTCCCTGAGCACATATCTGCTGATTCCCCTTCTAATGAGTTCCTCACCATACTCCTTTTTTTCATTAGAAAGAATTACTAGAATTTGCAGTTATACATTTATCCTACTTAGATGATTGTGTATCCTGTGTCTTCCCTACTAAACAGTAATTTCCACAGTTCAGGGGGCTTATCTGTGTGTGTTAGTCCCCGTTGTGTGCTGCTAGATGTGCAGCAAATACTTCGTGAAATATG